AACAGAACGGGAACCAGTAATATTACCACTTTTAAGCTCAAAATATTTCCCCAGCGGTTTGGGGTTCAGAGGAAGGGATGCTCCACCATGGGCAGGTCTCCCCAGCTCTCAGACCTCGAACCTGCCTTTGTTTCTTCATTGCTTAGTGAACGAGGCTGGGACCCTGCATGTATCAAAGTGCACTTCCCCAGTATTAAACATACAAAACCCAGAAACACAGCCAAAGCAGTTGACAAAGCAAGGCGGCACTGTGCCAGTGCCGGGATGGGGGAGCTCTCGGTGGGCATCTCCAGGGCATCTGTCCCTGCCTCCCACCGTGCCTAAGCCAAGCTTCCCACCCAGCATGGGATGTTTCTGCTCTCATCAACACTGACCACTGCCTCCCTCCAAACACTTCTCACTCAGAGCCAGCTCTCTTGCAGAAGGCCTCCAGCCCAGGCAAGCATCATGAATAGCCAGTGGAGTCCAGTCCCCCCAGACGTGCAGCAGCTGTGGACCTTGTGTCACCACTGGTAATTTAAAAGGTCAGCCCACGTCTCCCACCAGCTTGGCTCTTGCGGTCCCTTCCCACTCACCACAGACTGTTTGCACTAAGGGCAGCACACTGGCCTGGATTAATGCCTTGTAGGTTCCAACAGGAATCCACTTTGCAACTTCTAATAAAACCCAACCAGCAATGATGCCTTTGCTGCTGTGATGACTGCGAGCCTCAAGCAGCTGCATGGTTATTGAGTCTCCCAAATTACATAACCATTATGTATGCTTACATTAAAATTACCTTGCAATCTCTAGATTGCCTGGCAACACTTTTCCTTCAGCATACACAAACGGTGCACATTTCCTCTTAATTATATAATAATTGCCAAGCATTTACCCAGCAGTTTGGAGAGAAAACCATTTTTAACTTTCATTTGCTAATAAAATAAGTGGTTACTCAATAGCCCAAAATAAAGCATCCTATTGTTCCTGTTGCTGGGAGTGCTTGAGCATCCTATAATTTACTGCCCAGTTTTGCCCCTTCTGCCTAGGGTTACCCACATTTTACTACTTTTTTTTTTGGCTATCTTTTAAACTCAAAGTTTCCTCTGAGCAGGAACTGTTACGCCAGCAGCAATCAGCACAGCAGAGCTCGGATCTCCTAGCTGACGCACACAGGTTCTGCTATAATATGAATGCTAATGAGAATATAAAAAGCTGCAGTCTTCTCCCTTCAAACTCTACTGAAAAACAGTCTTGAGCTTCCCATTCATATATGCATTTCCACCAACTTTCTGGGGTGACCTGGCTGATTTTGGCAGCACCTGGAAGCTTCTGGACTGTCAAAGACTTGCAAAACTGATTTTATACCCACCCACCAGTTTTAGACAAAAAATGAGGTGGTATTGCATTTCAATGTGGAGATGGACTGGGGCACTGCAAACCACCTTTCTCTGCCTCAGCAAGGTTCATCATGCTCAGAGAGCTGTTCTCTGCAGGTGTTTGAAACCAGGTAAGTCTTCAACAAAAGCCTTGTAGAAATGAGGGGCTTACTCTGCCTCTGAGTGGCTGCTGAGCTTGCAGAGGCCACCAGAGATCAGTGAAATTAAGGCAGATGTGGCTCAAAGCACTATGGCACCATGAAACATTACTTTTGAGTTTGACACAGCTACACGTTGGCTTTTTGAAAGCGCATTTGAAACAATACCCTCTGGTTTGTGAAAGCAGCAGGCTTTACTTCCTAAGGTTGAAACAGTTGGAAAAATCTCACTGTGGACTAAACAAGAAGGGTGACATAGCTCTGTCTCGCAAATGTCTAACCTTTCAGGCTTTGCACTGCTCATTGACTGGGGATGATGATCACTTGCTCAAGCATCCTTGTCCCTCCCACTGCTGGCTGCCCTGCCTTCAGGTTTGCCACCAAAACCATGCATTTGCACTGCTGAAGTAAGCCAGGTTTAGAAAAGGTTGCCATGCCTGAGAGACACCAAGCTAACCTAGATCAGTCTCAAGAGAACCTGGCACAGCGCAGATACCTCTGCCGTCAGGTCAGCACAGCGATAACCTCAAGGATAATGTGGACAAGCTGCTGGAGGAGAGATGAGGATGGAAGAGGATCCAAAGCAAAGGCCCACCTACCCCAGCACCCCATCTCCTGCTGAGGTCAATAGCTTGGGGAGAAGCATCAGGCAGAGAGATGTAACACCTCCAGTACCCACAGTCCTTGCTTTAGGCAGCCCGATGGCAAACTCTGCCTGTATCCTCATATTTCATTGTCCTTGACGCTCTTTTCTTCTACAGATCTGTCTATAATCACTTGGAGCCCATTTAGTTCTGGCACCTTTCTCCCCCAACACTGACTTTCACAGTTTAATTACACACTACATGAAAGTGTAATTCCTTCAGGTTTAAACTGGCTACCTGATTGCTTTGTTTGCTACCCCTTAACTCTTCTGTTTCTAGAAACAGATTCATTCCGTTTGTCACTTCCCTAACACTTAGGATTTTACAAGCCTCTGTCATATCACCCCTTCCCATGATCATTTTCAAGTCTTAAAAGCTTTGGTCTTATCTCCGTATAGAAGATGTTCCATCTCTTTACACCAGATGTTCCAGGACCATCCTGATCATCCATCTCGGGTCTTTTTCAGCTCTGGAGAGCTGTTTCTAAGGCTGAGTTGAGTTGCACAAAATATTCAAGATAATCCTCACCTGTACCTAAGAGCTCTTACAGATCCAAATAACTGTATAATTACGTCTTCTGTTTTCTTCTCTACTGCATCCCCAGTAATTCCTCAAATCTTGTTAGCTTTGTTGGATGTCACTAAGTGATGGGCTGGCATTTTCAAGAGAACTATACAGAATGAAGCCTGAGTGAGAACAGCTAATATAGAGCCCGTCACGATGTACGTATTTTTCATATTGTTTCTCCCCTTCGTGCATTACCCTGCAGTCAGCAACATGAATTTTCATCTGCCATTTTATCATGCCATCACTTGCTATCACAGCATCTTCCTGCCAGTCTTTGCAGTCAGTTCTAACAATGACTACCCTGAATAACCAGATGTCATCACCAATCTGTCTTGTTGTACTCTACCCTCTTCTGGTCATTTAGGAATATATTGAACAAGCCAGGCCACATTATGGATTCCTGTTTAACTGCACTAGTGACTTTTCTCCATTGTGAAAGCTGTACTCCTACTTTCCTGATTGTCTAGTTATTAATCCACAAGAGGCCATCCAACCAGAGACTCATGAGCTTCTTTATGAGCTACTGTTAATGGATCTAATCAACAGCTGTTTGGCAATTGAAACACAATGTAGTAACAGGATCACCTCATCTACATGTTTGTTGTCTCCTCTGGAAAACTAATAGATCTGTAAGGCATGAATTGCCTCTGCAAAAGCTGTATTGCCTCTTCCTCCTCACATTCAGCTGTCCAACCATGGCCAACTCTTCAGTGCATCAGTGCGCAGAGAAAGCAGTCAATGATGAGATTGCTAAACTCTACGTAAGGCTGCCTACAAGGAGGATGACAGCCAAAGGGCATGGAGACAAACAGAGCTCACCAGCAATCTGACAATGCGCCCAGCTGGTACAGAAGCAGGAATTGCAAACCAGCCGACTCATGGGTACCTCTCGCATGAGACCATGCTATGTGGGTCCTGGCAGCACCCTATGCATGAACTGCTCCAGTGCAAGAAGCAGAGCCAAGGATAAAGGCAGGGACCTAAGGTGAGCGAGTAGCAGGGGATCAGAGTTGTGCCTTCTGACTTGGTGACAATGCTGGTAGGAGGCTCAGGAGGAGTGGGAATGTGCAGTGTAATATAGACACAGCATGGGAGTAAGGCCAGCTACCAGCACCACACCAAAGCACGAGGTTACAGATGTGTCCTGCACCCATAAATGCCCCGCTCTACTGTGCTTGCTGCTTTCAGAGCTCTGTCTTACAGACAAGAAAGCAACCAGCAATTTCATGGGTATCCTCCCACTGCTGGCACAGGTCAGAAGAGAAGCCCAGCCATGAAGCCTGCAGCACAAGGCCTGCAGATCAGCAGTGAGCAAAGTGCACCATCTGACAGCTTCACATCCCCTGCTGCAGAGGGCGAGAGGTTACATGGACATGCCAGCTCTGCTAAGAGTCCACGAGGGGAAACACCAGCCAGCCCTTGCTGCTCCTCGGGATCCATGGTCACAAGATGCCAGCACACAGACCACTCTACCTTGTGTCTTCAATTCAGGGACCCCTCTTCTCCCACCCTTGCCAGGTTCATGCCAGCAGGGACATGTCAACTACAACACGGCCAGAAAAATCCCTGCTGTCATTTACAGACCTATCCTGACCTCCTTGTACTCTTCAGGACAAGTGCTCAGTAAGCAATCTGGCCTCAGCCACGTTGGGAGAAGACTTACAAAAAAAAGGTGACAATAATCAAATAGGCTACAAAGAGGAACCCTGCTGCTGGAGTCTCTGGACAGAGCCAGGGAACACACTTGAGTCACCACCTCCCTAGAAGGGCACAGCAGCACTGGGTTCTCGTCACCCCACAGCCCTGAGTGACCAGGAGTCACTCAGAATGATGCTGCAGAGGGAGTGGACAAGGACAGACACCATCCCCATGCCGCTTGCCAGCTCTCCCCATGGCTGGGGCTTCCCCTGCTAATCTAAAGACAGGAATTTGTTCCAGCTGAAGTTGACTCAGTCTGTGTCACTGCAAACACCCATTTTCTGGCTCTGCTATTGCTTTCAAAGACGCTCTCCAGAAAGAGATAAATGGAATTAAAAAGGAAGCCACTATTTTCCTAGTATCCTTTCTAAGGAATGCCTGCTCCTGGCATCTCTGATACTGCCTGGGTAAATCTGAGCTGAGTGGGACCACCACCAACTGCAAACCCCATCACATGCAATTAGAGGAGACCTCACTCACTTAACTGACAGCCCACCAGAGTCGAGAGGCTTCTCCCGAGCAGGAGGTCAACGCATGCACTCTGCAAAGCTGCTGTCGATGCTGGTGGTACTCACAGTACTCAATGCCCAAGACGACATCTCGGAAGTAGAGCCGAGCCTGCTCCTCGCTGAAAGGCTGGTCGCTTGGTACCTCCATGACAGGCCTGTTAGGAAGAGGGTGAGTAACTTAAGTACTTTGCAGAATGGCAGTAACACTCCTCGCTTGCAAGGAGTAAAATACAACCGTCAATCAGAAAAAGGAGGGGCAACAAAGGAAAATAATTAGGCTGTAGCTTCAATTGTGCATTCCCGTGCAAGGTGCCTTGACTTGCTGCAGGAGGAGTTTCATGTTCTCCATCACCACATCCCCAGCACTGAGGGCCAGACTCCCAAGAGGTTCTGGGTGCCGTCACGCAGGATGGATGTGTAGTCATCCTTTCTGGATGTGGTGATGCCTAGGTTAGTGAGCCCGGCTAGTGGTGACCAGTGGCTCTGCACAGTCCCTGAGCCAGCAGGAGCCACAGAACCCTTGTCAACACCAGGATATTTTGTGCAGACAGCAGCAGTTAAAGGCAAACACTATTCACTGAGAGTCCTAAAGGGAAAAGTGTAGTGAAAGAACAAAATTGGATCTGGTCTTTGGTTTCTTGCTAAAGCTGCTCATGGCTGTGAGCATCAGCATCACCAGGAGGTATCAGATAGCAGTGGGGACAGAGTACCTGCTGCTGTGCCCTGGATATTGTGCCTGGTGGGGCTCAGTCCTGAAGCAACATCTGCATGCAGCTAGTCTAAACCAAGGCAGAATCTAGACATGAACAACCGGCTCAAAGATTAAGTGGGAATATTTCCAGTGCATTGTGCTAAATTGCTCTGAAAACCGATTTAGCTGTTCAGGGTTCAGCCACCACCAGAACTCAGTGAAGGTTACCTGATCAGCTTCTCCTCTCCTTTCCTTTGTACGCCGCCACTGCTGAGAGATGCACAGCATCCTCTAAAAGCCCCTCTTCTGCCTGTGCCAGCGGAAAGCTGAGGGCAAAGAGGCTGTAAGAGCTAGTCAGCATCTCCTGTTCCCCAGCGGATGAATGGTAGGAGCTAAGGACTTCACTGCACTGGGGGTTAATCCTGCTTGTGCCAGAAGCTTGACCTTGCATTTAGACATATGTCCACTGACTTGAGCTGGATTTAAGTGAGTGCTCCTGAGGCACTGTCCTTGCAAGCCAAACCCTGGGAGAGAATAGCCCATCACCAAAACCAGGCTCTGTGGCTCTTCCCCTCAGCACCCAGCAGCAAATCCTTCCTGCAGAGTTTCTCTCTTCTCCCTTGCCGCCCATTTGATTGATGACCTTCATCTCCCATTTGCATTTTTCTGCCACTGCCTTCCCTACATCTTCACACACATTTGTCTGCTGCTGAAACCAGGGAGAAATAATGTGAGCGGCAGAACTGGCAGAGCCACTAATGGAGTCTAATTGCCTTCTGCTAGAGGCAGACAGGCTGCACGTTCTCTGGGCACAGCTGATTACAGGAGCTTTTTTTTCTCCTCCTTCCCTTCTACAGGGCAGTCATCAGCCTGGTCACCAGGGAGACTGGGGAGCCTCTCACCAGCAACCCACTGGAGCTGGCAGCCTGCAAGAGGCTTGTTCACAGGGCCAGAGAGAAAAAAGCCCTTCAGGAATCTCCCTCATCCCAGGCACAACTCTCCTGACCTTGCTGTGACTCTGCAGAGCTGCAGAATCAGTGCAGGTGTAGCAAAAAGCAGTGAGGAGACTCCCATCACCTCATTGCTTGTCCTGCTATGAAAAAACATGCCAACAAAACAGCTTCCCACAACATGTTAGTGCTAGGGGCAAAATAAGGCAGCGGGTGGCAAGTAAACATTGATGAAACCATACACCCCTCATGCCAGAGGAAGACACGATGTGGCTGTTACCCTAGCAGAGTATTCCTATTAAAATCTCTTCTTCCAGGCACCTGATGGGGAATTGGCATCAAATTTATTTTCCAGATCAAAGCCTGACATCAGGACATGTCCTCCCAGTCCATTACTATTCACCACATCATTGCAGGCTGTAACAGTGCAAAGGCAACTACAGCTGGATTCTGCCTCCTCTGCACTTGCCTGCAGACAGTTGTTTGCCCCACTATATATATATATCAAACCTCCATCTCCCTAGGAAGCTAACGATGAACACCAAAAATTTCAAGACAAGGAATCCCATGAGGGCTACTTACCCTTTCCTCAGGAGGTCAAACACTGCAAGAAAAGCAAATCAAACCATGAATGAACGAGAAGAGGGAATAGGGCTAATTTGGTTTTTAGCACCTACAAAAACACATCCATTCCCATACTTGCAAAACCAATTTATCTCCACTCACTTCTCTTTCCAGAGGATGCAAAATGAAAATATTCATCTCTTCAGCAAAGATAAATATCCCCACCTCCCGCCAGCTCCACGTAGGGAGAGAGTGGGTGCTCATTTATCAACCACAACTACATTTCTGCTGCTCCTAGTGTAAGCCCTTGCTGATTTGAATCCCTTCTTATTCAGTACCTTCAAGGAGGGCATTTGGTGTGATATTTCTGCTAAATTGCTGATACCAAAAGAGATGCAGTAAGAACATGTTGCTTCATTTTTGCTGTGTCAATCAGCAGCACAGCTACATGGCTGTCAGAGGTAAACGATCTCTGGCAGGCGCAATCGGAGGATTTGTTGGTGTGAGTTGAGGTTTGTAGCGCACGTGAGGTTTTGTGTCTGATTATGGGGTTAGTGGCAATGTGCATTTCTGATCCTGTCTCTGACCTGCTCTGCAAACAGGAGAAGGATCAGCCTTTTTGTAGTAGGAGAGCTCTTTCTCATTAATTACTAAGGGATTTCTTCCACCTCCCAAGAAATCGAAGCAGATCAGCCTCCCCAAAGCACCAGGCAGCCCTGCTTACAGCTGCGATGTTAGACCAGCTGAAGGTACAAACACAAGCCACCCTGCATTGGCTCATCTTGGTCTCCAGGCTGAAGAAGCTGCAGCTTGTGGCAGCATTTCATTATTCAACCACCTTGTGCCATTGGAAGTTGCTCAATTTCTATGTGCACCCTCCATCCCCTGCTTTCTTCCCAATGAGCACACTGCAGAGTGCTCACAGCAGTACTTAATGCCAGCAGTAATTAGCAAAGAGCAAACTGCACTTTCTCTAGTTTTGCTTTGTAGTGGGGGGCATTTTTGGAAGGAGAAAGGTATGGTTATCATCGGCTGGGTCAGCAGCAGGTGGCAGGAAATCCACTTGCAGAAGGCTCAATCCTGAGCAGTGCTGAGCATTTATTTTCATTCAACAAAAAAGCTTGCTCCCTCATCTCTCCCCTTTTCTCCATCCCCAGGAGCTCAGGACTTTAAACAACAGCCTCAGCCACGTTCCCCACTACACGTGCATCTGCCTTGGCTGCCACTTGGCGATGCTGCCAGAATGCCACTGGGGCTTCAGCTGAAAGGGAAAAGTGGCCTTTCAAAGGCAAATAGCTTCATTTGCTAGGCAGAGCCCCCTTTCACAAGCAGCTTCAAAAGCATCCCATAATTATTTCATGAGAAGCAGCCTTTGAGCCTGCCTCATCAGGAAATATTTCAGGGAAGCAGAGATGTAATAGGGTCAGACATCCCCCTCCTCTGGCCCATCTCAGAGGGCACCTCAGTGCCTCCCAGGCCTGCCTCTCCAGGTTTTGCCTAAATGGAGGTTAGGCTGTGCCTGGCACCTCCAAGGTTTGGGGGAGAGGAAGACAAAACAGGTGGAAACTCCTCACCCTCTGCATAAATGTACGGTCAGCTATGCCCTCCCATGGCAGGGCCTGGGCTCAGAGGCCAAAGACAGGAGTGTTGCTATCTTAGGAGGTCCCAAGGCTCAGCAGGGTGGTCAGTGTCTCTGCAGGGGTCAGAGGGAACACCGCGAGACAAGACTGCTTTCCAGAGTCACTACCACTATCCACAGCCTACAAGAAGAGTCTGCAGGGACCAACCTCATACCAGGAGAACAAAAAACCATCCTGCACCCTTCCCTTCTCTCCTGGCTCTAAAACTGGAACCGACATATACATACAGGAGGGCAGAGCCACTGTCATGTCTTTTTAGTGTCCCCGTGGCAAGGAGATGCACACAGCTGTACTAAGACACAAGGCTGCTTTACCCTACTGAAAGGGGCCCTTCCATCCCAGCTGCCTTTACAGTCGTTGAACTTCTCAGAAAAAATAAGCCTGCTGAAGTTGGTACAAGTTTCCTCCCGGTATTGACCCCAAGCCCTGGTACACATTACTTGCATCGCTAGGTCTAAGCCCAGATGGTTCTGTTAGCACATGTGACTCACATACCCATGTACAAGTTGTCCTCTGCAGGATCATCAAGGACCTGTAATTGATAACAGTGAGATAAGGGGAAAGGGGAAAAAGAAAAACAGCAGGAAAACAAAGATATTTTTAATCAAGTAACATTTTACTGCTCCCTATACACTGTGCTGAGCTGCAGAGCACTGAGAATGACTTAGGCTAATATTTAGAGATTCCTGCAGAGAGAGGGGCTTTGAAGGACACAGATTTTCTTGTCTCCAGAAAAATCTGGGCTTCTGCCTGTATTTGGAGAAACAGCCTACCAATAAAACCACTGCTTGTCCTAATCTGGCCTCAGCCCATAATGAAAATGGCACCGAAGCCTTGCACTTGTGCACCTTCCCAGGCTTGTCTACACACAAGTTTCACTGGTCAAAGCTTGCTGCTATTTCTACCAGCACAGCTAGCTGCCTTCTCTTGGGCACCAGCCCAAAGCCCAGAGTATGTCAGTTTGTCATACATAATTGGTACGATCTTGCTTGGAATCACCAGCCTAAATTTCTGAACAACTATTTTAAACCAATTTTGGCTGAAGTAGGAGCAGGTGAAGAAAGATTTTCTTGTCGCAATACCAACCAGACATGTTTCAGTGCAGCTTAGGGTGGAGAAGCAGCTCACCTCTATCAGTTTAACGATGTTGACATGGTCCAGTTTCTTTAAGATAGCTATTTCCTGATAGACTCTGTCCAGTGGTGCCATGGGTTTTGGCTGCTCTCCGGAGGATGCTTTCGACCCTCTGGGAGGAGGTCGACCTGCAACCGTGATAACATGGTGAAGAACAACTCATTTTTCAGCAGCACCTGGCACACAGGAATGAGCAGCCACTGGCCCCTCTGCAGATACCTCCAACCATTCTGGAAGACCTCATCACCTTTTTATCACCCCAAAGCATTACAGTCTCCACCTGGAATTGAGATTTCCAAGCCCCTTTCAGATCAGCTGCTCCCACCTTCCCAGCCTGGTCTGTTTGCCAGGTCCCATGGCCCAGTCACTGGAGCCAGGTGCTATCTGAGAAGGTAGAAGAGCCCCTGGGAGGAGGCTAATGGTGAAGGAGGACCTTCACCTTCCTCCTGGGAGGAGGAGGCAGGTACCCTGCCTAACTTCCAGCACTTAATTAGGCTTCATTGGTGGTAAACATGGAAGAATCAGCACTTCAAAGAGACTCAGAAAAATCAAAGACAGGGATCTAATACCAAGTGCACTGAATTTTCCTGTGGTTGTGCCTGTCCTTTCACTACCCACTGTGTTTTAACCAGCCCCCTCTCTACTTGGGCAGCTTTCAAATGAGACCAAGTTCCACAGTCCTTGCAGACAACGTTTCTACAGAGAGATCTGCCTAGTTGAGGACAAGAGGTAGACCTCTAAATATGAGATACCCACGTGGAAATCCATACTGCTTCAAGAGCTTCTTTTTGGAGAGGACTTTCATTGCCTGAAGGAAGAAGAAAAAGCAATGTTAAAACCGAACAAGAGCCAAAGCGCTCATTGCTGTGACCTGGGAGTATGCTAGGCATCAGGGACTGGCTCCAGTCTGTTCCTCAACCTAGAGAAGAAGTCTCCTTGTTAGTGGTGGCAATGACAGATACACACACACACTGACCCAGGCTTTCCTAAAGACAATGCCAACCATTTGTTTCATTCATCTTTTTCCCATGAAAAAAATAAATGGTTTTGATTTATTTTAAATTGGACAAAGAAAAAGGAGCTCAATTTCTGCATTTGGCACAGGAGCTTGAGGGAAGAGGTGGGTTCCTCTAGCTGACCTTTATGTACCTGCTGTTTGGGATGATTCTATGGCCACACCACAAGTCAGAGCCACTTCAAGGCGGCTCCACCTTATGTTTTGCCTTGCCAGAGGGTTCAGGAAGCAAAAGAGCTGGAGTGTCATGGCCATACAGCTACCCTAGCAACCTACACCACAGACCTGGAAGAGGGTGAGCACAGAGCCCTTCCACCTGCTCTGTGCCACCTGGAGAGGCCTTCTGTACCCTCAGAGACTATTTTTCTCCCATAAGCCTCTTCCATGCTGCCAGAGTAATACAGAGCACCTGCAGTGTGATCCAGCACCGTGCCCAAGACCACGAACAAAATACTTCATGGGCATCTGTTCCTGCACCATCAGAAATGGCGAAGCCTGCCATGCTCCTGCACAGAGCTAAGGCACTGGGAGGGAAGCAGTTTTTTGCCAGCAGCTTCCTTCCCTTCTCGTACCTGATAGTACGCTGGCACCGTTGTGAACCTAGGCAGCCGAAGTGTGGGAGGGGGTCAGGGTAATTTTTTCTGCCATCCAATTGGCATCAGCATAGCAGCAAAAGGCAACCTGAAGTTAATAAACAGTCTCTGTGCCTCTATCTGCTCTGTGCCTTAATAACCTTTTTGAAGGCCACTCAAACAGCCCCGAGTGGCCCAGCAGATAAATATTTCATGAGAAACCAGCTCATGGTACAATTTGCCTACAAAAACATTCTGTGCTCCCAGGACCTGGAATGGTCACTTGCTCCCTCCCCTAGAATAGGTAGTTACTCCTTCTAATTAAGCATCCCAATCTGTAATTCACACTGCAGTGGCCTCTGCGAGATATAATTAACCAAGGACTCCTGCAGGACAGAGTCAAATGTCAAGGAATTTTGCATTAATACCACAGAGGCAAGCTCTCTGCACGCTACACAGATATACCAGGAACAGGTCACCAAAACCATTTCAGCAAACTCCTTCCCAAGCTGTTTTTCCTGGCAGCAATGCCACCGCACACTCCAGGATCCCACCTCCCGTCAAGGCTCCCACTGCAGCCAGGTTCACCGCTTGTTGAAAGGATCGTTATTTTTGGTACTGATCCAGTGAAATCCTCTGGATTTGCACCCGTGTAATTGAGAAGAGACACTGTGTAGTTCTCAATCCTGCCTGACAGCTCCCAAGCCAACTGTTGGAAACAATGGTGTTGAGAGACAGACTCAGAAGTGCTTATCTTTTACTTAGCACAGTGCCGTGTCCAATACAGACAGCCAAATGATTCATGGTCTGCTAAAAGAGGATCCAAGATGTGCGCAACCACCTCCAAGGATGGCCAGGATCAAGCCTGGAGAACTTCCTACCCTCCCCACTTTTCTCTCTCCCTAATGAAAATTTATGGGGAAAAAAAAAGGAATTGGTACACCTATTTTTCTTTCAACCATCGTCAGCCCGGGAGGAGAAGGCTCCCCTTCCTCCAATCCCACATTGAGTCCTCCCTGCCTTTTGGCAAGGAGCTTTATAAAAAAAGAAATCGAAGATGCAATTTGCTGCTGAAAGCTCCCAAGTTGCATCAATGCTTGGGGAACCCAGCCTGAGGAACTGAACCACTGCCACCAGCTGTGCCTGCATCAGGCTAGTCCTTCCCGGGGCAGGCTCTGGGGAGAGGCTGGAAGGAGCAGGAAGGTACAGAAAGGAGCAATAGCAAAGACAAGAATTGCTCTCGAGGACAGAAATGGAGGGAACAAGAGCTACTGCTGTCACCCAAACTCCTTGAAGGATGCTATGAGGGGTGACGGGGGTTACCGTATCATAGATGAGCTGACTGTAAACCATCTCTACTGCTGTGGAAGAAGCACCAGGACATGGTTATACCAACTTCAAAGCACCAGAATCTGCTGCTCCACAAGCAGTGCTGGATCAGAAGAGAGGACTTGTCCCACTGTGCTTTCAAACGCAAACGGGGGACGAAGAGCAAACTTCATCATGCAACGGGCCAGAGCCACTTAATTATCACAAGAGCAGAGACAAGAGCACATGGCGGTGAAGCCTCACTTTAATTACAGCGCGAGCTGGCAGGACAAGGCTTCCTCACTCAATTGTAGCTGCGCATAATGGGAGCAGCACAGGGATGCTTCAGCAAACCTCTCCTTCCGGGCTCACACGCATGAAAGAGCCAGAGACATTTGTACTCACAGGCAGAACTAATTACCCAGATAATGCCTTTCTGATAAAGAACCAGCTCAGAGCCAAGCCGAGGGATTTTCCCTTTGCACTGGCAAGCAGTGCTTCAGCTTCCTCAGGAAAAGAGGGAGCCTAGAGGAGATTTCCTCCACATATGCCCTTGCACCCACCTTCCTTCCGACTATTCACATGTGGACACGGATCTTGACATTTTCCTTTGAGAGGCAGCGGGAACCATGCGCTTTCCTTTGATGTGCATTTATTATCTAAGTTTACTGCTCTCCTCCTAGCAAACCACAGGGAAGCTGCCGGAGGGAAAGGAGATCCCAGGTTTATGGAGAGCAGGGATGCCTGGGACACAGCAGCTTTCACAACAGTGAGACCTGGAGCAGGCATCCTGATGCTTGGTAATGACAACAGCAAAATGGCCATTAGTTGTGGAAGGAAAGGGTGATAAAATTGATTGAGCCAAGAGAACTTATCACCTGTCCTTTGTGATGCTTTCACAGCACTTAGGGTGTCATTTTATTTGCTAACAGAGAGACTTGCATTGCAAAGGCAGAAGACCTGTGCGCAGTCCCTACCTGCAGCTCCCAGGGGAGAGGGATGTTGCTCAAAGGTCGCTACTAACCACCTAAATCCTCTGCTAGTGTGTGACAGCACCCTGCGGGAATGCCAGGCAGACCAGAGAGCGTTTCCAGCCCTTCCTCACCTATCCTGTCTGACAACAACAACCCGACAACCCTCAGATAAAGTGGCTAAGAGGGAAGGTCTGCCAGGAGAGAAGAATGCTATGCACTGAAGGAAAAATCCTAAATCAGACAGGCTTAGCTGCCATGCCCCTAAAATCCTCCTCCTGCATTTATCACCTTGTGTCCCAGACACTGTTTGTCACATCAGCAGGCTGTGCCCCATCCACGCTCTGACACCACAGCAGGGATGCCTTTCCGAAGTGGCCACACTCGCCTGCCTCCAGCCATCTCCTGGAGGCTCCTGCTCTTACCCTGGGTGATCCAGCTCCTCACAACCCTGCTGCTGAACAGCACCGGGTGTTAAAGTAACATTTCCCTGGTCCTCACCGCACGGGAGCACAGCTGGCAGTGGTTCAGTAGCTGTCATGTGCACAAGAAGATGAGAAACACTGGAGCCGTGCCTTCCCTTCCCGTCTGGATGGTGACCAAAGTGGATTCTCCAGGGGCTAGAAAGTTCAAGGCTTGCTGCTGGCCGCCACCTCCTCAGCAACAGCACTTTGTTCAACCATCTTTTCATAAACTTGGAAGGAATTTCCCTCCATCACTGAGAGTTGGTAGAAAGAGCCCTCCATGCAAAGGTTGTTAGGTACAAAGAGGCAGAGAGCACAATACACAAGACTTGTTTCTTAGGAAACCAGATTAAAAAAAGAAAGAGGAAAAAAAAAAGAGAGACAAACCCACTGACAACTTACAATGCTACTGCTTTTGTCCAGAAGTAGCATAACAAATGTCTATCATAACCACTTTTCTGTGCAAGCTGATTTAGAGATTGAAAATAGGAAGGAGACACGACCCGAGGCATCACGGAATCAAATTCCATCAGCACAATGACTCCAAACTAGATCTCCGCCTGGACACGTTTGCCTTTGCTTTTTATTTGCTGCTTTTTCACAGAGCTTGGGTTTTCTTCTTTTTTCCTCTAGTCACTATTAAAGCATCTCCTGCAAACTGAGACACTAAAACCTTTCCAGCTGTAAAAAGTTCCTTGGCAGAGCCCCGCAAATACTGCTGTAACAGCTTCATGTGCCCCAGCAGCAGCAGGGACCTCTGCTCTGGGAGCCAACTCCACATCCCAACGGGGTCTCCTTGGAGGGAGCACTGGGTCACATACTTGGTGTTGAAAGTTCATTTTCCTTGGTCTAATACATTCCCTGCATCTGCTGATGTAAGTCAGCACACTTTCACAGCCCTCCACGGCACTGTAATTGTTCACAGCAACCAAGGATAAAGCTCTTGGAAGCACTCTCTCATCTTTAACGGAAGGTAAAAAAACCCACAGAGTAAATACAACCCATCTACATTTTCCCCAAATATGGTGATCAGCTTTTTTTCCTTGAGGGTTTTTCCTAATTCTAGGCCAGATCCAAAACTTATTAAAGCAACAGAAATCTTTCCTTTTGCTTTGACAGGAGCTAGATTCAGTTCCTGGTACCTATAAACTCTGCCTTTTTGAAGATAGCTAGCAAAAGGCCCCAAGTCTCAGCCAGAATGAGGAGTCACACTCTGAATTATACTCCATAATAAAAATTTTATGCTTTCTTTAAAGTTTTGCTCCATTTTATCGCAGCACACTAGCTTAAAGAAAATAAAGCAGGCAGCAACACCTTGGCCTCATGCTAAAACACTGCACACATGAATCAGTTATTAGGGGCTGCTTACTAAAGGCCAACCAAGGGCTGATTTCCTCCAATTACCTGAAACAAAAGACAATCCTCCAGAGCTAAATTTGGGGAAAAATCATCACACAGAAAAGGCACTCTCCAACTGTCAGAATCCCAATTACCTCTACTAACTGCTGGTAATGGGCAGCTGCATTAGGTATCCCCTCCCCAGGGGGCCGGCGTGCATTGCTGCAAGACAGCCTTGGACGGAACGATACGCAGAGCAACAGGGAAGTTATCTCAGCGCTGGGAGAACACGCCAGCAGGCATGGGGAGCTAAGCAACCATTAACCAGTTATGCAATTGCCTGCTATTTCTCTGAAGCTTTAAAAAGTCTGCCAGCTCCTGGGCCGTTTTAACATCTTGGAAAAGTGGAGGTGTCTCCATCACTGCTTGCTCTGCTGGAAAACACAAGCACAGGCACTGGAAGGATTAGGGGTGACAGCCTGTCTACATGTGACTGCAGCTGGGGAAGGGGGAAAGCTCCTACTGCCCTGGCCAAAAGGGTAGCAAGTACATGAAACAAAGACTTAAGCATCACAGCCATCTGCCCTCTCCTCTTCCGTACGCTGACATCCACTGCAATGAAACGCAGGCAGACACTGCTGATGGTCTGACTCTGGTCCCATCTCTCCATCCGCTGTAGCACTCTGCACACCTCCCAGGATCACCTTCACAGCCCCAGGGTCCCAGTTGAGTTCTGGTTCAACTTCTGGTTCTCAACCCCCCCAAAATGAAGATCGAGATGAACCAAAGAGCATGTCCCTGCAATGCTGGCAGTAAGGGGGTCTGCACACCCTGTCCTTCTTCAGGTAGCAAGGCTGAAACAGTGCCCAGGCATGGGAGCCACTCTCGGACTGCAGTAGCTTTAAAGTGTTTGCTTAGATTAGAAAAAGAAATAGAGATTAAGCGGGGATTAACTAACACACACCAGGCTAACCTGGACACAGACTTTCACTTTTGGCTTTGATTTCACCAGCTAAATCTACATCCACGGCATTAACCTACATCCAAAACACAGACAAGAACACAGCAGGCAACACTAACCTAAACCCAGCTCTCTCTTGCTGAGCTGTGACAACTGCCCTGCCCACCCTGGGCAGCCTGCAGCACAGCATCAGGATTCCCAGAACAAAAGGGCAGCGCCAAAATGTAAAGATTACAATTTTTAAAGCACAACAATTTTCAGCTGGAAATAAATGTGATGCATTCCCACTTTGTGCCGCTGGTCCTGGCACTGCCTACGCTGGTGGGACAGATGGATCGGGGAAGCCACGGCTGGCACCATCGCTCTCTGCAGAACAAAACCGTCCTGCAGCAGGGCACAGGAGAGAGGACTCTGAGGGCAGCGAAGAAAGAGAGCCATCGGGAACAGCAACCGCTCTGGTGCGGTGGGTGACTCAGCTTGGAAAGGACAGGAGACGGAAAGAACTGTGGTTCCTTTGCTTGGCCAGCTCCAGGGCACCTTGTCCAGATTTTTGTCTCATCTCTTCCATCCTTCATTTCAACACATTTCTCCTGCAATTTCATGCCTGCTGGAAGCATGGAAGGGCTAATGAATACTAACAGGCATACAATTCCCACCCGACCCCTCCAACCTGGTATGTCACTTGTAAATCCGAAAGTCAGAGAACAAAAGCTAGCTGGGGAGTAGCAGGGAATGAGCACACTTTACATCTCCACATCATATTATTATTCCCCTCTGTACCAAGACCAACAGCTCTGTGCACTGGGACAGGGAGCAGCACACGAGTCTGCCCAGGTGCTCTCATGGGCTCACTTTCACCCACGTAAGGCCACCCCATTGCAGCAGCAAAAGCAGGATCCCTCTCAAACACAGGACAGAGCAACAGCTGAAGTGCAGGGCCAGTCCGACAGGGCTGCATCGAGGGCAGTGGGGTTTAGGTTCAACGGCACTGCAACCACCCAGCTCTGCTCAGCAGATACCTGCCCTGGGACCCACCAGAAACTACTGAAAGCTGCTTCCACAAGCCTTCAGGCACAGCCACACACAGCAAGGCAGTTCTCCTTTTGACAGCTGTCCAGCTCCTGCTCTCAGCCTGAACAAAATGTGCCACAGGGCAAGCCCAGGGACACGAGCACATCTGCAGACAAATTTTGCAAGAATCCCAGCTGGGACAGTTAGGATTCACCTGCCTCTGAAAGGGAAGGGACAGAGAAGGAGCCTTCAGCATAAGGAGCCTTTTTGAATCTGAAACCCTCCAACTCTGGGCTTCAGCTCAGCAAAGGATTTAAAAGCCAAGGTTTGCCTTCTGCCCTGCACCCTACACCTCACGACCTGACAGCGAGGTCCCGTTCGGTGTACAGGGAGGCATCCTGCATGGGGGTATGATGCAGGGGAGCCAGGCACTGCCCAGCTGGGCCACGCTGTTCAGCATCTTTCCAATAAAGACCCCCATTTCCTTACAAAACGCGCCTGCTCGTTCCAGGCTGATCTTCCAATGCACAGGAGGTGCTGAATACCACCACCCACTCGTCTCTAATTTCAGGTGACCTGCTTCATAGCTAGAAAACGTCAAGACAGATCAGCGATACGCTTCTGCAGCCTGCCTCCGAGATCCCTGCCTGTTACATAAGGCAGCCCACCCAATTTCCCTCCCATTCGGCACCACACGCAGGCAGGCTTCAATTCCTTGCATGCTACCCGAATCAGAAACGCACACACTAAAAGCAGCAAGGCAGAGGGGATCTAGCTCTCAGGGGGGCAAAGAGGAACAAGGAGCAGTGGTGGTAGCAAGGAGCAGACAAGAGGGACACTTACGTAATACTTGTCATCGTTCTCGTTGTAGGCCAGTTTCACAACACCGTAGGAACCCTAAAAATAAACACAAATTTCACAGTCAGTTCAGCAGCTTCACCTCGTCTCCTTGCCGCTCCAGGATGGTAGACCATGGCCCTATACAGGGGGAAAAAAAAAAACAACAAACCCTTGAAGGCCACAGGCCATGTCTACCCCTGAGCAAAGTCCGCAGGTGGTGTGACCCTACCAGCAAGGTCGTACATTTTGGCAGCTCTGTTGGAACCACTGGGCATTTGAGGATTAACAACGTCTGGAGGAGCTGAGGGTTAGTCTGTCACCTCCTGCCCTCAGCCAAAGCCACTGTGTCTGTCTTAACTCAAATGTGGGTGGGGAGCAGAGAAAATTTTCAAGTAGATTTTTTTTGTGCAAGTTTGGAAATTCTGCACTAACATCTTTCTTCTACTTCTCTGCAAGACCATTTTCAGCACAAAACCTCTCCTTCTCTTGATAGCAAATGGACTTCAGTGAGGACCAGCTGCCTGCTTTCCACCAACTGCATGTTGCCCATGCAGATGCAGACCTGGATTGCTGCTATATCCACAGCTCCAGTGATAGCCTGAAGCCAAACTCCATCCAAATCACTGGTTTTTTGCATTTCTGTGCCAACACCACACATTTTATGCAAGCAAGACATGACACCATGGCTAGGTATTATCCCTGACAGGTGCCTGCTGAATAAATGAGAGGGATGAACACTACAGCCTTCAAAGCAGTTCTCTTGACTTCGCTGAGAGCTGGAATGAAGGTCCTGGTCTCAGAGGAGACCGACAAGCCATCTGGCTGATCCAGAAGCACAGCAGGTCCAGCAGGCCCTCTACCAACTTTAAGGTGCCTATCTGCTCACTGTGACCCGCAGGGAAGGAGAAGGCAGGGGTAAATCCACCAGAGAGAAGGTCTCACGCTCTCCTTAAATCATACTTAAGCCAATGACAAAAGCCGTAAGTGGGTCTGAAGCTGTGTGTGAGTTTCAGATGACATCTGCCATACCACCAGCCGTGGGATCTCCACCCTTACACCCTGACTGCCAGCAGCCAAATGCACAGCCCACTGCGCAGATGGCAAGGGTGCCTCCTCCCATGGATCGGCGCCTCTTGCTTTGGAGAGGAGTTTGGGTTAATGAAACTTTTGGTGAAGGTCTCTGCAGCTCAGGGTGCCATCCTTTCTGACTGCAATGTTCCAACTGCAAAGGTAGGTACAGCTTCCAGACAGCACCGTCACTCGTGAAGCCATCTGCAATGGTGGCAGACATCCAAATGTGCAGGTGTCTGAACTGCTCACCAGCCCAGACCTCTAAATAACTTTGGAGGAATCTCTTCTGAATCATTCTGCAGTTTTTAAATGAGGACTAGAATTAAACTAGCATTTCATTCATGGACATAAAGACTTGAACTAGTCCTGATGGGGACCAAACACCTGCCCTGATTTTTTTTGTTTTGTTTTCTTTCCTTGATGTACTAATGCATCAAAGGCTCTTAGTGTTATATTTGGCAAGAAAACACCCTGGAAGGGGGCCAGCTTAACCACCTTCAGAGGGAAGGAAAATAAATTTAGATTTCAGAGGAAGCAGCTCCACTTTGACCTTGAACAAAACTTGCTTAAACTAATAAGGCAAAAAACAAACAAAACCTCCCAAAACAAACACAAGTTGCAAGGAGTCTTGGTCAGTAAGATCCCTTGGGCTGGCGCAGTCTTTCCACCCGTACTCACGTCTGTGCACGCAGGTTGCTTGTGACAAACATGAGCCCCAGTAACATACCTTGCCTATTTCGCTCTGCAGCTTGTACTGGTTTAATTGCACACAGTCCTGCAGATCAAAAGGAGAACATAATTAGAGTATTGGTAAAAGGAAATGACTGAGTTTGAATCAGTATCAAGTAGATGAAGAGTACTGAATAATGAAAGACTGAGCCTTATTTAAACTGGTATATGTTACACTATAAGCACTACATTTTTTTTTTTGACAGCCCAGGACAAAGCAATTATGGGCTGAATTCTGACTCCAGTTGTGTTGCTGTAACACCAGAGGCCCCTGCACCCCAATACCCCAGCATCACCCCAGGTGAGCCCGACAGCAGCCTCTGGCCTCTTTACATTAACCATCTACATTGGACTGTGCTCAATACCAAGCAAAAAAACACCCGTCCCCAGCTCCACAGGGCTCTCACAGCCTGGCAGCTCCCAGCACCCAGGCACCCACGCCAGTCCCAGGGTTGCAGCATTAGCCTGTGCCCTTCCCAACATCAGCCTGGCAAAGACGTGGACCCTTTGCGGGTCGTGCTGTGACTGCACCCAGAGGAATCCTTACCTGGATCGTGGACTGATCTTTGAGGAGCTATTCAACACAAACAATAATGGAATCCCTTAAGCTGATAGAGTATTTGCTAAAATAAGTCATCCCTAAGGCAGGTCTGATCTCTGTTTGCAAGCTATCCAGCACTGAAACCCCACGGGGTGGGAAGGTGGTGGATGCAGACCCCCAGCAAGCTGTGACGTGGGTGTAATGATGGGGTGCTGAGTTACTCAACAGACCAGGAGCAGCACAGGGAGTGATGGTGGCTCCAGGCATCGACCGCTGGAAAGCAAGGTGGAACACAACCACCATGCAGTCACCTGGTGTTAAATCCACCCTTCCTTTAGTATTGTACTACCTAAAGGAAAACACTTCCACAGCAGCAGCAAAACCTCCACAGCTTTCATTTACTTGGAGCTGATCCCTCCACCCTTATAATTACAAGAAGAAAATCCCAGACACCGCAGAAGCGCAGGGGGCTCAAGACCACGAGCGCAGGGTCAGCGGCATCCACTGCCCACACCGAGCTCTCCCTGCGACTGCCCAGCTGCTGGGGAGCACCCAGGGGATCTGCCCAGTTCGGTCACCGTGACGGGGTCTGTGGGAGGACAGCACACACCTTGCTGCAATGCAAAGCTCCTGGCAAAGAGTCCAAGTGTTCTGGCAGGGATCTCTGCACCGCCGGCACTAGGGAGGGTGGGCTGCAGTGGTCCTGACTTGGTCCTGGTCCTTGCCTTGGTCCTGACTTAACACACAACACTGAACTGCATTGCAGAGGAGGGGAGAGCCCCAAAGTTGGTGGGGTGAGGGAAGGGGGGGAATTTCCAACCAGAGCACATGGTGTGGGCTGAGCCTTAGATGGGACACACTTCCCCAGACAGCATTTTTGAACACAAAATTTCTCCCTGAGATTGCCAAGCGCTAAAGCAGGCTGGAAATTCACTTCCAGCCTCTGCAGCAGGCACTTCTTTGGGAACAAAGCTGATATAAAATATGCAGACAGGTAGATTAGACTTCCCATAAACCTCAAAATAGTCCTGCAATCTACAGCAGCAGTGCCAGGACAGCAAAGCAGTGCCAGACATCTTCAGTCCGTTTGTAAGAACAGGAACAGGGGGTGTTACAGCCCTGACCCCGTGCAGCAGCCCCACTGAACACAACACTCCTCTGCCTCTCAGGATGCATTTACAGCACAGATGTGGCCGGTGATAATTTTGACTTTTCCCCATCACCAACCAGAAAACGCTCTTAAGACAAGCGATCATCACAGTGAAGGAGAATAAAGGAACTGGAAAATTATGACTTTTTAAGCTTGCAAGCAGTGGCTTGTTAGGAATACAAGGAATGATTTAAATCTTGATCTTGTTTCCAGTGAAGGAAGTTTTTTTTCCACCACCCTGACAGGGAAGAAGAGCCAACTGTGAGTAATGTGTCCACAGAAGTGTATTAACTCGGCTGCTAGCAAAGCATGTGTCTTTCCAAAAGCAAAAATCAATCCATCAGAATTAGGAGCAAGAAAAGAGAGAGCATGACCTAACAAAAGCCAAGATGTAAAGCACAAGGCCGCAGAAATACATGGAAAAGAAAAATCCCATTGAATTTTGTAGAAAGGACTCCCCTCCCCAAAGGGGAGGGCAGCACGCCGCAACCCACGGTACGGACACGTGGAGGACAAATTCCCCTGCAAACAATATGTCAGCAGATTCACTTCCCAGCACACGGCTGTGCTTTGCATCGCAGTGATTTTCACAAATTAAGCAGGAACAATTTTCTGCTGCCATCTCCTGCCCTGGGTTTCCCCACGCTCAGCTTCACACCCCTTGCTTTGTCCTGTGCAAAACTGCAGTGCTGCCGAGATGGGGAAACGCTCACCAGAGCAGCTGAGACAGGCAGGAAAAGCAACCACCCCTCTGAGAAACCTTCCAACCACTTCAGTATCTCCTGCTCTTCAAACCAGCGAGCTTGCAATGACCAGGTACTGTTATCAGGCCTCCTCTCCCGAGTAGGGATTACTCGCACAAGCAAATACACCCTCTTACATGTAGCCATAGACTCCTTGGTCTGCACTCAGTACCTTATTTCAAGCCAAGGTGGCATCTCTAAAGCACCAAATTTGCTGCTTCTTCTTGCCAACACGCTGTTGAGGGAGCCACAGATGCACTTTTTCCCTCCCTCCTGAAGGAGCAGAGTCCTTTGTGCTGGACACAGTCCATCCAGCCAGGCAAACCCCCTTACAAAGCATTTAGGGCAACTGAGGAGGGACTATGCCTTGTCCCTGCCTCCACGGCACACTCCACTGACCATCATCTTCCTGCCATCCCTCTTACCTCTGGCTAGAAATTACCACTCTCATCCCACACCAGACCAATCACCTGAAGCACTTCTCTTCACTGATGCTAAATGGAGCTTGTGAGCGATACCAGGACACCCACCTTTGGGGAATGGTTTTTGAAAGGGATGGGAACACTCAGAGAAGGTCCGAGGGAAAGGTGATGACAGGGTCTGCAGTACAGCCTCTGAGAGTTTACAAATGCTATTGCTGCATCCCTACCCAATCCACACCTCCATCGCTCTCCACTCAGATAATTACCCAAGCCAAGCATTATCATCTTCGCTTCTGCAGTGCTTCAAGCACTCGAGCTGAATGCAGCAAGAATCAAACCAGATGATAGATGCTTTCTACCTTTTTCGTTCCCCCCTTGCAGAAAGACCATAATTCACAGCTCAAACAACTCCTGCCATGTGTCACTGCAGACTGGCAGGGTTGTTATGTTATTATTTGGTTCTCCTGCAGGAAGTGGGATAATTGTACTATTCCTTTATCAGAGAGAAACACCTATCTCTGGGCCAAGTGTTTCTTAAAGATAACATTGTACAAGCCTCTTGATTTCATCATGCCAATGTATTTGCAACTGCTGCTAAATACAAACAGAGCAAGAACCTTAATGAGATCCTTTAATGAAAAGCTGTCAGCAAATTAGACTGCTGTGTCCGTCCAAGTGTGCAATAATTGTTCTGCCTTAAAAAACAAGGTGCCCCCATTTGTTAACATGTCCAAGGTATTACTCAAGAGAGGGGGGGCAGATCAATGCCACAGAAAACAAAAATCAGAAAGCACAGTGAAGTCCAGAGTCCAGACCCAATTCTATAAATCCAGTGCTGCCACCACCGTGTGACAGAAACTCCAAGAAACTGAGAACTGAGCCTTTGCTGTCCGGGGGGGCAACCAGGATGAGAAGGAAGAGCCAGAGCTGGTTTCCAGAGTAAGACACTTCTGAAAACAGTCAGATGGTCTACATGCATACATATAGAACGGACAATTTTGCCCCCTAAAAGCAGCCAAATTCACCAATCTGAAAAGAATTCTATGTTTCAGCAATTCAGAGATACACTTTAAAGAGAAGCATGGGAAAGAAAACTGGGAACTAAAAGCCAGTAATGAAGGCAGCGCTGGTTTAAACTCATTCTGGCTGGAAGAAGAAGTGAAAGCAGTTCTACAAACAGACAAAATGAAAATAAAAGCCAGAAAAGGGGCATTAGGGGCAGCAATGATTTAAAATTAGAAAGTTGTCCAGGGACAGAGAAGGACACACAGGTAGCCCAGAGCTCACAGCGGTAAGACAACTAAACAGATTTTTTTAAGCAACAACCAAAGCCAAGTGCAAACCTGGAAGCCCAGCATCAGGACTGGCCACTGGCAGGAGCACTGCCACAGCTGGGCAGAAAGTGCAACACCAAGGCTCAGCACCATGGTTTGGGCTCACGCACCCAAGACCCCGAAGCTGGATGCAGGAGCTCAGGCACCCACCAGGTCCCTGGGGTATCATTTGGAAAACGGCTAGAAGATTAAAAGGGAGCTGGGACTGGTGGGACCAAGGCAGCCCTGTCCCAGCCCCACTGCAACTGCAGCTTTGGGCTTTCTCCTTCTGTTGACCCTGCCCTTAAACAAGTTGGAAATGTAACTTTTAAATAAAGGTTAATTAATACAAGGAAAAGAAATTAGCAATGCCTGGGGGGATTCTTCTTTCAAGAAATGTTTTCCACTTATCTTTGATCTTTTCAGGAGAGCTCTAGTTTAAGCACCACAGTAAGACCTCTAGAAGAAATTCATCTGGGGAACTGGTGGGGCTGAAAGTGGAAGCGCTCCAGCCCACGCTGTGTAGGACCTTGGTCTCCGGCACTGCCCTGGTCCCACATGGGTTTACCTTTGCATACAGCAAGGAAATCACAACCTCATGAAGAAAACCAGGCAGCTCCAAGAGACTGGAGAGCATGAGACCTGGATCAGCCCGGCACCAAAACCTCTCATAGCTCTTGACACCGCTTGCTTCAAACCAGTTGGCCAAACAAGCAGGAGGCCTATGATAAAGATGTGGAAAGCTAAGGAAAGAAAGGACAAAGTGATTTATTTTCCACGCCCCTGGGACAAGCCATGGACATCAAGCATAGGAAAATTCCCTTTGTCAGCTCATCCTCCTCCCTGCGTGCTCGGGCTAGCAGCAGCACCGAGGAGG